TGTCTCCCGAGTGCTGAGATTAAAGGCATGCGCCACCACCGCCTGGCTCTCTCTATTTTTTTTTATTCATTAAAGACCCAACACATACTCAGCAAATATCTGTTAAGTTGAATTGGATGTTTGTTGTGTTTCTAGATGCTATAAACCTCAGAACAGGTGAGGGTAAGCTCAGAACAGGTGAGGGAGTGGTAGAATTCACAAGGGGTGGGGTGTAAGTCAGGTATGCTGTGGTAAGGAATTGGGGCTGTGTACCTCACTGATCTCCTCTTCCTGCAGCCTAGGAGCTTTGGTCGGGCTCCAAGACATCCAGGCTACCCTTCACAACTGGACAAATCATTGCCAGTTTTCTCGGGACAGGCTCTCCTTTCCCTTCAAGATTGCACCCCCAGCCTGTAGTGAAAAGGCAGCTGACAGACGCAGAGGGTCCTGGATCCTCTGCTTCCCACTCCGTGGATGACTTTCAGCTGACGGCAGCACCCACTCAGCTCTGCCTTAGATAGATTAGCTTTCCTCTCTCCCTAGACTGATTCTGTCCCCAGCGCCTTCAAATTTGCCCGCCCTCCAAACTTTTCAGTGTTTTTTTCCGTGAAACAAAAAGGTTGTCGGCTCTTGTAAAGGGGAAGGAATTTGGATGGGCTTTAAAAAAAAAAAGAAAGACAGAACCACAGGGAGGATGTGGTAAAAAGCCAGAGGAGGGGGGAAATTGATTGCTTGCGAAGGCGAGGGGGCTGGGGGAAGGAGCCGTGACGATCAGATAACAGAGGTCACTGAATTCCGGAGGTTAGAGGTTAAAGGCTGGAAGCGGGGGTGGGGTGGGCGAGCATGGAGGCTCCACCCTTTGCAGAGATTATAAATAGGTAGGCTGGGCTTCTGGCTGTGGTCCCTGTGATGGTCCTCAAGCCCTCTGAGTGCTGCTGAGGACCCAGAGAGCTTGCTGCCGCGGACTGGGAAAGGTGTCTCGGGAACCTACCTCTAGATCGTCCTTAAGGCTTGAGGAGTAGATTAGGACCATGGGGACAGCGAAGGTAAGAACTGGTTATTTTTGTTTGTTTGGGGTCCTCACAAAGGCAGGTCTTGGTGCCGATTGCCACGCTCCAGTCTCCCCTAAGTCACCGAGCCATCCGGAGGGAGGCCTTTTCGTATCGGCTCCAGCATTCGCCCCTGGTGTTACCGTTACTGTTCGGTGCATCTCATACCTGATGAGGATTCTCCCGGGCACCTCCTGTCATGTGAAAGTCACCGGAGAAGCTGTTGGCGTCCCGGGTGTGTTTGATGCAGCTGTGACGAGACTGCTGAAGGCAGAGAGGGCAGGGGCTTGGCTGTGGCGATGATGAGTGGGTCTCGGAGCCCGCAGGAAGGCTCGGGAAAGCGTTAGACCTTGGGAGGACCCGGGGTTGGCTTAGGCTTGCTCAGCATCCAGCCATGCCCGAGTACTGTGGAGAGAGAAGTCCGGTTGTCCTTACTGTGGTCGCGAGTGTAGGGTGTATCTTACTGTAGTTGAAGGAAGCAGTATTTGTAAGGGAAAGGGCATTTTCACGAAGATAATTTATTTGGAAATAAGGTGAATTAGCAGCGGGGCGGGTGGGGGGGAGCGGGATAGTAGAGGAGATGGGAAAAGAGGCTTTTACTACAAGGAAAAGACTTTACGGAAAGCCTGGCAGGGATAGACAGCACTTACCACTGAGGCTGGGCGGCTGCCGGAAGGTCAACTCTGGTATAAGCTCCCAGCCTGCCACTCGGTGTGACCTTAGAGGAAAAAAAAAAACTTAAGGACAGTTGGAGAGGTTGTGGTGGACAAAGAGGCTGGCCTCAGACTCCAGTTTGAGTTACCCCTGCCCATCTGAGTGATCCCCAGCAAGGTGATATCTGCCTGATTCCATTCTGCTAAAAATGGCTCCTAATATTGTGTTCGGAATGAGCAGACGCTCTGCCCAGCTGGGTGGAGGAGAATAGTGCCATATTTAGCGAACAGGAAGACTCTCGTGAGGGCCCCAGGATGTTGCTGGTTGGTTACATAGTCTAGAGATAAGAGCAGCCGGGCTCTAGGTGCCATCAATGGATGAATGAATCAAAAATAGCAGTTGTGATACACCATGGAGTATCAGTCAGGTGTTAGGAAAAATGAAGCCAGCCTGGAAGAGGCAGAGGCCAGTGGATCTCTTGAGTTCTAGGACAGCCAGGCCTACACAGAGAAACCCTGTCACCAAGAAAAAGAGAGAGAGAGAGAGAGAGAGAGAGAGAGAGAGAGAATGAAAATGAAGTCATGACACTTTTTAGAAAGATGGATGGAACTGGGATGGATGTGAAATAGACCAGGTACAGAAGGAAAAAACGTGTTTTTCAGATATGTAGAACTTAAAAAAAAAAGGCTGGGCATAGCAGCTCACAGCTATAATCCCACATTTGAGAGACTGAAGCAGGAGGATTGAGGAGCTGAATTTGAGATTAGCTTGGAATACAAACTGTGGAACCTTGTCTCGAAAATCTAAAGGGGGTGAGGGAAGATGATCTGAGAGTCGAGGGGGGTTATTGGGTGTGTGAGAGGAGAGAACACAGTCATCTGTGCCATTAGCTTGTTTCGGGGTTCTGTTTTTGACTTTCCAATCCCTGTGGCCACGCTGTTGCTACCTGCTGCTCTGGCCTCTGCAGTCTGGGGGGGGGGGAACAGACGGACGGACGGACGGACGGGAAGAGCACACTGAATCCAGCTTTGCAAAATGGCTAATTTTTAGGAAACTTAGAGCTGTCTTAGCTTTGCCTTTTATACTGTGGGGAGTTTTGGGGTTTGCTGTGTTTTAAGTCCAGGTCTTACTGTAGCCCAGGCTGGCCGTGAACTCATGGCTATCCTCCTGCCTCAGCCATTGCATGCTCTGCACTCAGTTCATTATTGCAGTTTCATGCCTGCCTCTGTCTGGTGCAGTTTTGCTTGTTTGTCTTTAATTTTTGAGACAATGTTTTGCTATGTAGATAGTCCAGGCTGACTTTGAATTCGTGATCCTATGGCTTTGGAATTACAGACGTGCACTACGCCTGGTGCGATAGTTTCTCTTTCTCTCTCCCCCTCCCTCTCTCTTCCCCCTTCCCCCTCCTCCCTCCAAGACCCCTTCCCTCCTTTTTCCCTCCCCCCTCCTCCCCGCAAGACCCTCCTCTGCCTCTCCTTTTGAGACAGATCTCACTGTGTAGCCCTGGCTAGCCTGGTACTGGCTCTGAAGACCAGCCCAAAAGAACTGACTCCAGTTCCTCAAAAGGTCTTTCTCCCCAAATGTGCCTGAAATCGTAAGCAATTTCCCCTTGTCTTAACAGGTGACCCCATCTCTGGTGTTCGCCATTACTATCGCCACAATCGGCTCCTTCCAGTTTGGCTACAACACTGGAGTCATCAATGCGCCTGAGACAGTGAGTGTCAATCACCCTGAGTGAAAAGAAACGGGAAAGTCGTTCTTTAACTAAGATTGTGAATGTAGATGCCTGGCTAAGATGGGGGAGGGCACATACTGTTAAAGAAGCCTAAGCCGGAAGCTGCTTGCTCCTCATGCTGTGGCCTCCTGCCCTCTCACCAAGTAGTGATCCATTTCCTGTATCCTTCCTTAGGGATTCCTCAGACCCCCGGGAGTTGTGGCTGGGTGGGTTGCACCGTTGACCATTTGTGCTGCCACCTACTGGATGTTTAGGGTGATGCCCCAGAATTGTCTTTTTCAAAGCCTGTGCCTCCGCTGGCTCCCGCATGCTCCCGCCCTGGGGGAGGAAGCCACCCCGGCGGTACTTGTCTATGGTTCCCATCCAGATGGAATGGTCTGTCCCCCCTTGTGCATTTTATCCTGCAGATCATAAGGGACTTTCTCAACTACACTTTGGAAGAAAGGCTCGAAGACCTGCCAAGTGAGGTGCTGCTGACCACCCTCTGGTCCTTGTGTGTGGCCATCTTCTCCGTTGGTGGCATGATTGGCTCTTTTTCTGTTGGACTCTTTGTCAACCGCTTTGGCAGGTACTGGGCAGACCCTGGGCGGGAACTGTACTGGTTCGCTGAAGACAAGCAGAGAGAGTGTTGGATCGGGGAGATGATGCATGCGCCTTGCGTGAGAACACGTTGAGTCATACTCCAGGAAAGCTAGTCCCCCTGGCCTAGAATAAGGCTGCCCTTCTACAGGGCCACTGCCCGTCTACAGATCTGCTGTGTGAGCGCTTGGTCTGAGGTTCCGCTCAGGCTAGTTCGATTTTACCGTGGTGGGGTCAGCTATGACATTTTCTTGAACTCCTTTAAGGTCTGAATATTTTTGGAGGTTTCTTGGAAGTCTTTTGTATTTTATAAAATGAAGACTTTTTGTAATCCTTAACTTGTGGAAAATGGCGAAAAAACTGATTCCCCCCCAAAAAAAGAAAATTGAATAAATTAATAAAATATCTTAAGAGGATCATATACATTCAGGAATTGACTGAAAAAGAGACCATTGATAAACTATGTACCCTAACCGCTGGGCATTGTAGCACAACCCCACAGGCCCAGCACTCAGGAGGCATAGGAAGCAGAGACCCGACCTCCGTGACCTCTGAGCTGACCCCTGAGCTCCACAGACCCTGTGACACACGTCTTGTCACACACATTAGCTATTCTAGATGCACAAATTGAGTTTAAGATAATCAGCAAAGTCATCTATTGTTGGATAATGTTTAGCTATTATTTTGGTTTTTTTGTTTGTTGGGTTTTGTTTGTTTGTTTGTTTGTTTGTTTGTTTTGAGACAGGGTTTCTCTGTGTAGCCCTGGCTGTCCTGAAACTCAAGCTGTAGACCAGGCTGGCCTTGAACTCACAGAGATTCGCCTGTGTCTGCCTCGCGAGTGCTGGAGTGCTGTAATTAAAGGCATGGGCCACCATTGCCTGGCTGAGAGAATTTTTTTTTTTTAAGTTACTTTTTAAAAAATTACTCAAAACTTCTTAATTTGTTTTTCTTCTTAACGGCATTTGTGCACCTCGGCTGCACATTTGGGATTCCCTAAGGGGGCCTTTAGGAATCCTAGTGCTGTGACAGCCAATTAACCAATTAACCGGGTCCCTAGAGGTGGGACTCATGCATGAAAATTCTTCCCAGCTCCCTTGGGAATCCACTGGTCTCTTGGAGTCAGGAATCCCCGGTTCGCTGGGCGTGGGGGTGCTCAGGAGGCCAGTGGAGGCGGATCTGAGTTTCAGGCTAACCAGAACTGCATAGCGAGACCCTGTCTCGTCCGGTCGCAGGCCCTCGGCTGTGAGGCTTTCCAGTGCTAATCTTTGACTTTTTTTCCAGCAGTGTCAGTGGCTTGACCACTGTGTAGCACATAAAGCTTTATTAGTTCATTCCCTATCAGCTATCAATACTAATTAGTCTAGCCTGTGACTACCCAGAGAGCTGAAACTACCTACCTTCTGAGAGGATTGTTTTCAGTGAAATGAAAAAAAATTGTCCTACATGTCCTGTTATCATTACCATATCAATTCTATGATGGATGTAATAAAAAGGGACCGGCATGGTGGCCTTTGTCAAGAAGCCTGATGACCTGAGTTCAGTGCTTGGAATCCTCATAAAGGTGGAAAGAAAAAACCAATTCCATCCATGATGTTGTTCTCTGAGCTCCACATGTGTGCTGTGACACACTGGCACCTGGACACACACACACACACACACACACACACACACACACAGAGTGATGAACTTTTTCTTCTGAAAGAAGGAAAAGCTGTGGGGTATAGCTCAGTGGTGACATGTTTCCCTCAAATACACAAGGCCGCAGAACAAAGGGAAAGACTTTTGTACCTCAGAGGCTGTAGAAGAGCAAAGCCGTGAGGGAAGGAGGGACCGGAGCCTCTTTGCTGGCTAACTACGCTTTGTCCATGATTAACCTGCAGGCGGAATTCAATGCTTCTGGTCAACCTATTGGCCATCACTGGCGGCTGCCTTATGGGCTTCGCCAAAATAGCCGGGTCTGTTGAAATGCTGATCCTGGGTCGCTTGATTATTGGCATCTTCTGTGGACTGTGCACGGGCTTTGTGCCTATGTACATCGGAGAGGTGTCTCCCACCGCCCTCCGGGGTGCCTTTGGCACACTAAACCAGCTGGGCATCGTCGTCGGGATTTTGGTGGCTCAGGTACCTGCAGTTTTACATATTTAATGAATGCTAGCTCTGTGCTTTGTGAATGATGTAGGGGAAGCCACTCAGGATCTGGCTTGTGTTCAGTGATGTATTTATATGTGTATGTTTCAGATACTATTACTATAGTTCATATGGTGGCTAATGATGCAGGCAGGGCCCAGAAAAGAAAAGAAAAGAAAAGAAACAATTTGTTTTCTCTTTTCTATGTGTGGTAAAAGGATAAGTGATCTTTCTTTTTTTCCTTTCTTTTTCTTTTTCTTTTTCTTTTTTTTTTTTTTTTGAAATAGTGAATCTGTGGCTCAGGAAGTATGATTGGTGTTTAGTGTTCTCTTTATCTGGCTTCTATCTAGGTCTTTGGTTTGGACTTCATCTTGGGCTCTGAAGAGCTGTGGCCGGGGCTGTTGGGCTTAACCATCATTCCGGCTATCCTACAAAGTGCAGCCCTTCCGTTTTGCCCCGAAAGCCCGAGATTCTTGCTCATTAACAAAAGGGAGGAAGAGCGTGCTAAGGAGAGTGAGTACTCCTCATCTGTCATCTCCCTTTCCTGCTTCTCCATGCGCACGGAAAGTTTTCCGATTCCTCAAGGAAGTGGGAAGGCGAGCAAAGATGGGATGTGCTGTGGATGCATTCATCTGGTGTTGCCTTGCCTGCTGACTGACAGCAGGCAACAGTGGGGTGGTGGTGGGATGGGGGACGGGGGACGCAGTATCTTTATTCCTTTTGGCTTTTTCTCACAGTCCTCCAGCAGCTGTGGGGTACCCAGGATGTAGCCCAGGAGATACAGGAGATGAAAGACGAGAGCACCAGGATGGCGCAGGAGAAGCAGGTCACCGTGCTGGAGCTCTTCAGGTCATCTAACTACCACCAGCCGCTCCTCATCTCCGTGGTCCTCCAGCTATCTCAGCAGTTCTCAGGAATCAACGCTGTGAGTGTCTGCCGTGGGGCCAAAGGGGCCAGCAATATTCTCCTGAAATCACCTGATCTCGTTGGCAGGTTGGCATGTGTCTGTAGAATGTAGTTACTCAAAAGCTGGAGCAAGATGGTCACTAATGCCTAGGAGTTTGAGGTCAG